AGCACATTCCTGCTCCACAAGGACAGAATGTGGAGCTGCAGAAACTCTCCATCCAAAGGCAGTGTCTGTGACTGGAGCAAGGAGTCTGGATTCTTGCTTTTTCTCTGCCTGGGGGTAAGGGCGCTGAGCTAGGACTCCAACCTCAGGGACTTGGGTGACCTGTAACTTCTTTTGATACTAAGAACCATGTTAAGGTAGGAGGGTGGCAAGGGACATTCTTAATAAACCAATTCTCAGACTCACCTACCCTTTTCCGGCTCATTTGTGTAAGTAGGGTGGGCTGGAGGGAAGAAGACAGAGCTGGCTGGAGGCAACAGGCAGATGGCGTCTCTACCTAGGCCCATGGGAGTGGGGATGGCAAGGACCAGATTCAGGGCAACAGCAGATCTGGATGCAGCTCCCGTACTGCCCGTAGTGGGGGCTGGGAGAGGGAGCTGGGGCCTGTTCTTGCCCTCTGACTTCCCTTGGCCTTTGTGCCTGGATTGTAGCACCACCCATGGCAAGTTCTCCTAATTATCCCCCTTCACCTCCCCTTCTGGGCTCTGCTAAGCTCCGCTATTATTTATTGGTTCCTAACCTTTCTGAACTTCACCTGCAAACAGGATAACAGGACCTGCTGCCGAGTGTGAGGACTGAACGGGCCGAGCAGGTGCCTGGCACACAGCAGATGCTGAATGAGTTTCCTCTGACCCTGGCTTTCCTTAGTTTGGGAAGAATGAGTGTACGGAAACCTTCCTTCAGGGAAGCTTCTGGAAAAAAGGCCAGGGTTGATGCCTCCCTCTGGGCCCTTGTTGCTTCCCAGGAGAGCCACAGACTGCACTTACACCAACCAGCATGGACTTATTTCTTTATTAGGTGCCACCTCAGATAACAGGGAATCTAGGTGGGTGAGGGCCGCCGACACTGTGTGCACTGGGGCCTCACAGCCCCACCTTCTTCTGGGCCCAGGTGTAGAAGATGCCCTTGACATCATCTACGCCTGTCCGAAGGTGGGAAGGCATGATGTAGGTGCGCAGATCCCTCACCTCATAGCCGCTACGCACCAGGGCCTCCCTCACCTCCTCCTCACGCACTGGCACCACTGCCAGCCTGGCCTCCCCAGCCAGGTACCATGACTCCTCCAGGGCCCCGATGAGGAGGAGGTGCCCCCCAGGCCTCAGCAGTGTAGTGATGTGGTCCAGGGCCCGCTGGAAGCTGGCAAGGTCCGGACTCACAGCCTCCAGGCAGAAGGCGGAGACCAGGGCATCGGCAGGCAGGGGCGCCAGGCTCCCAGCGCCCAGGGGCTGGGGCTGGTGCACGTCGATGGGCAGGATCCGCTTCACCCTGGCTCGCAGCTGGCACTCCTTCTCTTGGCAGGATTCACTGTTTGACTCAGGAGGCAGAGTCAGGACCAGGGCTCTGGATTCTGCCCACACCCAGTTCTCTGTTGCCTCCCACCAGCCACTCCGTGGGAAACCCCCTGCCCAACCCGCACCCCCCAGCGCTTACCCCTTGCCCTCGATGAGACAGACATGCTGGCTGTACACGCTCCAGTCGAAGGCCCCAGGCTCGTCTCGCAGCCAGAGCCCCAGCTCCTGGCGGTTCACCTCCAAGAAATCTGTCATCGTGATGTCCTCAAAGTGGGCGCAGGCGCTGAGCAGCTGGTAGATAGTGGGGCCTGAACCAATGTCAATGAGGGTGCGTCCAGACACCTCACCTGGGTGGGGCAGAGGAAGCAGGTCCTGGTGCTAGGCCTGTGCCTGCAGCCCCCAGCCCCAGTCACGGCCTCCCTTACCTGGGGCTTCCTCCCCCTCTCTCTGTTCCTTCTCCCCCTGGAAGTGTGTCTCTATCTGGAAGAAGCATTAGCTCTGGAGTTAGACCAACCAGGGTCTGAGTCGGGCTCTAACACCCGCTGACTTTTACCTTGGGAAATGAACTTAACCTCTCTGACTCAGGTTCCGCAACTATAAACTCTAGTCACCTACCAGTGAGGATTAAGTGGGGGAACTCTCAGGTGCCTGGCAGCTTCTCTCCTCTGCCTTTGCCCCTCATTCTGCATTCCCCACCTCACTTCTCAGTTCTGAGTGTTCTCCCTCCCGACCCTCCCCCCCTCCTCTCACGTGAGGGACGCTTGCTCGTCTTCCTCTTCTGTTTTCACCCCTTAACTACCTATCCCCATCCGGGTGTCGCGTGCGCGCCCCTTTGGCTCCCTGATGACTTCTTGCCCTGTCTCCCCGCGCTCACCGGTGGCGAAGGTCTGCGCCAAGCAGCGCAGCTTCCAAGGCCCGACGCCGTCGGGGCCGCTCAGGTCCCCCCGAGGGGGTGCGTAGTTGTTGCGGAGGTAGGCGCGGGGCTCGAAGCGCTGGTAGGCCGAGGCGACTGCCGCCCGGCCCGGGTCTGAGTCGGGGGCCGCGCCCGCAGCGTGACTCAGGTCTGTCCCGCTCATGCTGCTGCCTTGGCCGCCCTTGTCCCCCGCTCGCCTTTATCTGCGGCCGGACCCCCGCCCCGACCTCTCCGCTGCGGGGGCGGCGGCTGAGCGATGAGCCGCCCGGGGCCGCGCGCGCTGCGTTTCCCCTACCCCATCCATCTCCTTTAGTGTCGGAGCAGCAGACACACGGGGGGAGCGTCCGTCCCCGCCCCTGCTCCACAGTTGCTCCCGGCTGCCCTCCACCCTTTGCCTCACCTGCCCTGGTCCAAGGCCAGCTCCCGCGCCCTGCCCCTCAGCTTCGTGCCCCCAGACTCCTTGGACCCCTGCGTCCGCCAGCCGCGGCTCCTCCCTGTAGCTCTTCTCCAGCTCCGGCAGCCATTCACCCCTTCTGCCTGGCATCCCTTCCCTTCTTTTTTGCCAGGGTTCAAGCTAGCCCTTTCCCCCATTCCCAGCTCCCAGCGCCAGGGACATCTCTGGGACACCCTGTCCAACATCCACCCCCCGCTTCCTTAGTGAGGTCACCCCAACTCCCCTTCTCCGCCTCTCCCCTAGGCCTCTTTCGTCCCTGTCCTCCAGCGTTCCCCCCGCCCCCCGCCCCGACTCCAGAAAGGACAGTCCGTTCTGGCCTCCGCCACGGTCGCCCCGGGGCCCCAGAGCGGAGCTCCGGCCCCGCCCGTCAGATGGCAGCGACGATAGGGCAGGCGAGCAGGGATAAAGCACTTAGCGGACGGAACAGCCGGGGCCTCCCCTGCGGGCCCTGCAGGCTCCCAGCCGCGTATCTGGGGGCTGCCGAGGGCGGAGGGCGGAAGGCTCGGGAGGTTCCCGTCACGTCCCGGGCGAGGGACCCAGGTGAGGACGGAAGGGTGCGGGGCGCGTTCTCCAGGCTGCCAGGGGTACCAGGGGACGCGATCCGAGCCTTCGGGTGCCAAGGGATTAGGTGTGTCGCCTGGTGTGGAGTCTGACCCTCTCATCTCCCAGCCCACACTCCAGCCCCCTCTGGGGGAGCAGGGCCAGGCCAGCCCGGCAGATTGCTTGGCACTCCAGGTACCAGGCTGTCAAGATGCCAGGGTCTCCCTTCCTATCCTCCCAAATGGGAAGTGGATTCTGCAGGGCCATCTCCATGGTCTTCCTGGAGTGGGACCCTCCTCTGGCTAAGTCTAGTGCCTCTCGGCCCTGGGTAGACTACCAGCCCCTGGCCTCCTCTGTGCCACACCCTGACCCTTACCTTGTCCCAAAGGGAAAGTGTCTTCTTGTTGGACCAGGCAGCCAGGTTGGGACATGAGTCACCACAACAGCTGCAGGGGTCACAGACAGGGACCTGACCACCCCACCACCACCACACACACACCCTACCCCCAAGAACCCACCTTGGGCTCCCAGGGCAGGGAGGGTGGAACACCTGACCCCAGCCAAGGATTGATTCTGTCTGGATTCAGAAGCAAGAGAGAGGTCAGCCTTGAGGTCACTGACCCCATCCACACCCTGAGGCAGAGCTGAGGACAGTCCCGGTGCCAGCCCCTTCCATATCCTTCATGAGATCATTTAAACAAACCCTGGATGCCAACTGGCCTCCTGGGCACTGCCCAGTGCCAGGGGACTCACACAGAGGCCAGGACTGCAGAGCAGAGTCAGGGGGACTGGACGGACAGCCACCCTGTTTATAGCTCTGTCCCTGCCACCCTCCCCCCACCCCGGGAGCATGGGGTGACCCACTAGCTCTGCCATATTTAGCTCAGATGCAGGGCCTGTTCCCAGAAGTGAGCATGGGGGGGACACCAACGGGTGGGCCCCTCAACCACCAGGAAAGAGACGAAACTCTGGCATGTGACTGAGCATTTATTGCAGCGCTACCAGAGGGTGCTGGGGGCTCCACCCTGCCTCGGCCCTCTTCGCGTCCCCTCCCTCCGGTCTTCTCCAGGCCTCCTTCCCTGAGCATTCCAGATCCCCTTATGCTTTTTCTTCATCCTTCTCTGAAGCTGAAATCTGGACTGGGGTCACTCCTCTCAGGGACCTCTTACCCTCACCAGCATTTTCTGCCTTTCCTCCTGGGGGTACTCGGCTGTGCTGGCCCCCAGCACTCCGCCCTTAGTGCCCACCGTCTTTGCTCCCTCCCTGTGGGAACTCAGGAGACCCAGGCATCCTGGCCTCTGGCTCCCACCTCCCCTAGCCCCCAACTCTGGGCAAACTACAAAGCTTCCATGGCCAGCAGCTCCCCTCCGTGGTCCTAGCCAGGAAGGGCCCAGCCCAGGGCAGGCACTGTGGAGCCCAAGTCACCGTCCCTCTCAGCCTCTCTGTGCCTCCTGGGACGTGGAGCGAGACAGGGTGCGACACAGGGCGCCGGGCTTGCTGACAGGCACCACAGGGGGCAGCTGCTTGGTGATCTCGGCCACGTCCTGGCGGTCCACACACTGGCCACCCAGGGCTGCTTCCAGTGCCAGCAGCTCCCGCAGCTGGATGGGGGTGTCCTCGTGCTCCTCCTTGGTGGCGCCCACCTTGGCAGGGGTGAAGATGGGCAGCGGCAGCATCCGCTGGTAGGGCAGCTGGTACTCCTGCAGCCCGCGGCCCAGGATGCCCATCCGCATCACCAGCCAGGGGGAACGCTGCACCAGCGCCTGGCACCGCCCCTGCCGGTGGTAGGTCTCCCGCCGCTGGGCATCCTCCTCATGCAGGGAGCAACTGGGAAGGAGAGGGGAAGGGGACACTGAACTCCTGAGAGATGTTGCCCTCCAGTCACACGCTGAGTGGCAGGGTTCCCCAGGACTACCAGGACCTGGGGTGCTGGAGGGGTGACTCCACTTTGCTCCCCACAGCGGAAACTCTCCTGGCCCCCAGCCCCCGAAACGTCTCCTGGGCTTTGCGCTCTGGCTGCATAAGGCTCAGGAAGGGTGCTCTAGGGGAGGGGAGGAGGGACCCCCAGCTGGCCAGTACTCACCCCTCCTCGGGCCGTGTGGACAGTGTCAGATCCTTCCACTCAGCCCAGAAGGCCTCTCGGCGCTCACAGTTCTGCTCGGTCACCTGGCAGCTCCGCTCTGAAGTGGCCATGATGACCGCTCACTCCCTCCGGGCTCTGTTCCTCCCAGGCCCTTTAAATAGCCCCATCCTCCCCCTCCTCCAGGGGCTATTTTCAGGCCCTCTGGCGTCAGATGCTGCAAGCAGAGCCAAGACTCATTGCTGGGGGATTCTGGGCCCAGGGCGGGGCTTGGGGTACCTGGACTCTGGCTGCCCCCAGGTCAGAGGTCAGCTTCTGAAGAGCTCAGATGCTCCTGTGGGGGCGGGGGTCCTCAGCGTGACACCTCCAGGTGTCTGACACTCCTCAGACACCGTCTGGGACCAGGCATGTGCCCAGCCTCGTGCCACCTTGGCACTTGCCCTCTGCCCCACCCCTTCCCCTAACCCAGGGAGGACAGTGGCTTGTCTGTAAACAGAGCAGGAAACAGCAGGAACCGAGGCCCCCTCTGGGCTCTGTACCAGGCCATCGTGTCCTTCCCCACTGCCTGGGCTCAAGGGCACATCCCCTGACTATCCCCTCAACAAGAAGGGACAGTGCCGCCATGTCCTCGGGCATCCGCCCCTGAAGGCCTGGCCCCAGACCACCTCACCAGCAGGGGCAACGGAAGTTAATTCCACACGTGGGATCCTGGACGCCAACCTTTGCCAGGTGTCTTCCTTTCCCGTCGGGCCAGTAGGGCGGGGGGAGCAGATGTGGGAGGTGGCCCCAGCTCTACCCCAACACCTCAGGTGGGGTGAGGTGGGAATCCAGGGGCTCCAGGGAGTGGCAGCCAGATCTGGCTCTAGCCCCAAAGCAGCCATAAATAGGCTATGTGACTATGGTTCAGCTTCTACCCCTCTCTGGGCCTCATTTTGCCCCCCTGCTGTTCACAATGGCCGTACCAGAAGAGTTCTAGGTCCTGCCAGCTCCAGGGTGCCACTGGGCAGGACCTGGCTCTCATCCCCAGGGAGCAGGCCAGTAGGAGGGCTGCCAGGACAGCCCAGCACTGAGAGCAGCGGCGCGTGCTGCTGGAAGCTGGCACACAGGGTAGAGGGCATGGGGGAGGAGGAATGAGGGTGTCACTGAGTGGACAAAGCAAAGGGCACCAAGAGAGGCAGGGACAGGAGCTGAGATGAGAACCTAGTGGTAAGGCCCGTGGGCACCCACCTGGGGCAGAACTGCATCCTCTTGATTACTGAGCACTACACCTGATTCTTGGTATCTTTTAACCTTACAAAAGCTTTTATAAAGTAGGAAATGGAGCCTCAGAGAGGTAGATTTGCCCAGGGTCGCACACCTAGCCAGGACCAAGAGGAGACACCGCCCCCACCCCGGCTCTAAGCAAGTCAGCTCCTCGGGAAGCCTGAAGGCAGGGAGGGGGGGAGGGCAGGTTTTCTGGTGGCCCCAGTGTGATGGGGCAGAGACGGAGGTTAAGTGGAGCCCAGAGGCCCGGATCCCGGAGGTGCATCAGCGACCTGGAAGGCCAGGCCCCACGTCCAGGCTCCCCCCCGGACCCCAGCCTTGGGACCCGAGGGGCAACCAAGGCCTGCTGTGGGTACTGCCAGGTCTCTCCCTACCTCCCTCCTCCCAATCCTGAGCTGGAGACCTTAACCTGACCTTCCCTCACCGGAGACCCGGAGACCCTGCAGGGAGGCGGGGAATTTTTCTCTGACCAGTCATCTGCCCAGCTGAACCATTCAAGAAAGTTGGGGGTGGTTCCAGGAACTGGGTCTCCACTGGCTCCATCCTGGCTCTGCGAGGCTGTGAGAGGGTGTGTCATGTGGTGGCTGCAGCAGTGGCTCCTTCCCTGCCTCCGCGGTGCTGCCCTTCTCTTCCCTCAAGAGGCCAGGCTGGAAGGACTCCTTTTTTTTTTTTTTTGAGTTCATGTTTTTAATTGGCTCAAATTACAAAGGTCCCCAAGGAGGCCCTGGGCCGGGGGGAGGCAACCTGGAGAGAACCTGGGAGAGGCAGGCTCCCTGCCAGCACCCACCACTCCCACCTGCAACCTACACCCCCACAAGTGGAAAAAGGTCCCAGACCCTTTAAATAATCCTAAAACACCGTGATGAGAGAGCAGGCGGAAGAAGGGGGTCCTGCGCCTTCACACTGGCGACAAGGCTGCCCTGACTTCTGTCCTGCCCAGGGTCCTCCCCCACCAAGTCCGAGGTTCCCATTCCAGACCCCGGCCTGGCCAGGTGGGGACAGCGGATCTCCTCTTCCAGGAGGCAGGGACGCCATGTAAACGTCGGCAGGATGGACCCCACTGGCCTCAGCGGCAGAGTCAGACGCTCGAGCTCTCGACCTGCCCACGGCCAGGGCTCCCAGGCACAGTGAAGCGCGTGGAGGGTGGCAGCTTGGGGCCGAGGGGCTGCTGTGGGAGGAAGCTCTTTCCTCCCCACTGTTTGAGGCCAGGTCCTCTGTGGGCAGCGGGAAGCCCAACCGGCCCCTCCTCTGGCTCTGGAGGCCGTGGTGACAGGACCCTGGCCTGCAGGGTGGTGAGGGGGCATGCTCATGCCCGTGCACCCAGCTCTCCGATGCGCTGCCGCAGATGAAAGGCAAATTCAAACATGGTGGCTGCGAGGCTCTGGTGGATGAGGTACCGGGGCAGGCGGCCCTGGGGGAGGCGAGAAGTTCCAGGAAGGCTTGCCCTGGGCAGGGGCTGCCCCTCAACCACTGGCACCAGCAGGGGCTGCTCTGGGCCAGAACACAGGTGCAGCTCTGGAATGCAGCCTAGGCCGCCCTCCCCCTGCCCCCCTGGCAGGAAGAACACGCCGTGCCCCGGGCTTGGCGTGAGTCACACAGAAAGACCTGGGAGGGGCTGGGCTGGCAGCCAGCCACCCTTCCTGGGGGCCTCGGGACTCAGAGGTAAAAAGGGGAGGCACAGGCCCGCCGGCAACTCAGGGTGAGAAGACCATCTGGACCTTGCCCCCAGTTTTAGAGTAAGAAAGGAGGCAGAGAGTAGGGGAGGCTCTGAGCAGAGCAGGGAGTGCCCAAGGTCACACAGCGGGGGCCCCTCCACTCCACAGAACCTGCCTCGAAGCCCCGGCATGCCCACCTTGAGATCTGCATTAAGGATCCAGATGAAGGTGCAGACTCCAGGGTTACTGGCTGACTTGAGCACAATGAAGCCCCCAGGACCATTCTCCCCCCTGAGGAGAGAGGTACCAGTGTGGGACCTTGGAGCCAGGCAGAACCCCTGACTCCCCCCCACCACTCCATTCTTGGCTCACCCTGGACTGGGGTGGGAGAGGAAAGGGAGCTGCTGGTCCAACAACCCCCTCGCTGCCTGAGCAGGGCCCAGGACGGGTGTCCCAGAGGCCACAGCATACAGCCCTCCACCCCCACCTGCCATGTGACGCTCAAATCCTCCTACAACCGCCTGCCGATGTTTGCACACCCCCAGTGGCAGGGAAGCCCCAGCTCACCACCTTCCCAGCCCTCATCTAGTCGGTCCAGGGATTCTAGGTCTGCTCAAGTCCTGAGGAGGCGGGCTGGGCGGGCACTTCTCACCAGGGCCCAGCTCTGGGAGCGGTGCAATGCCACTGGGCTCCAGGAGGGGGAGCCTTCTCAGGTGGCGTCAGGCCTGAGCTGTATGGTGCACATCCCACCTCCATTTAATTCGCCTACAGCTCCCCTGACTCCATATAAGGAAGCTGGCACCCAGAGGAGAAATGAGCTTGCCCATCACCCATCAAGTCTGCGGTGGTGGCAAGACCAGAGCCCCAAGCTGACACTCAGAACAGTGCTCTCTGAGGAACCCCAGGACTGAAGGGGAAGAGTGGGGTATCTGGGAGAAGGTCACCTGCAGGGCTAGGATTAGACAGCAGGGGAATTGGAGGAGGCCCTGGAACAGGCAGCAGGAAGAGTAAGGCCTGTCCTTTGGACGTACTTCCAAGCGCTGCGGGAGGAAGGCAAGGCCGCGGGGCAGGCAGAGGGGATGAAAGGGGCCCGAGTCTCCTCAGGCAGGAAGTTGATGGTTCAGAACACAGAGCCTCCTGCTCAGGTCCCCCAGACCAGTGCAACCTCATGGCTCCCAGCCCCCTTCCCCGGGCTGGTCCCTATTCATCCCCATTCACGGTCTATCCTGGAGCTGCCCTCCAGCCTGGTGGTGGGTCCAGCCTCCAGCAGATAAGCAGGATTAGGGGCAGCGGGACTGGGGACAGGAAGGCAGCCTCAGCAGGAGAAAGTGCCCAACTGTACACACCGACCCTGCCCTGTCCCCACAGCTACCAGGGGAGGGGCCGGCGCGGACGACCCCAGGCCAGGCTCAGCTCACCTGACATATTTGTGTGTCGGGGGCTTGGCGCAGTGGGTGGTGGCGATGCCCGATGACAGGTATCGGTCTCTGCGCCGCTCGATGCGTCGGACGTTCACGAAGTCCCTGGAGGGGGTAGGGTTAGGTCAGGGGGTGTCGAGAAGGTCCAAGGACAGGCGGCCTGGCTGAGAGGAGGGAGCTTGGGGGCCACTCACCTGGGGGAGACCACACCGCCCGCGGCCCCCGACGACACATCGTAGGAGATGAGGGTGTTGTCTTCTACTCGCTGCAGGATCTGCGGGCGTCAGGGCAGACGTGAGGTGTATCCACCCCAGGAAAACCCCAGGGAAGGGTCCCAGCATCTCAGGAAAGCCCCAGGCCAGCCTGCTGTCCGCTCAGGTCCCTTAATTAAGAGCCATTCCCATTCATGGGCACTGGCTGGGCCAGGCGCTTTGAGCATTTCCTCTTTCCATCTTCCCCACCCTCTCCAGGGGGCACTAGTACCACCATCCCCATTTTACAGACGGGGAAGCTGAGGCACAGAGCAGTCCAATGACGTGACCTGGGTCCCCTGGGGGTCACTGGTCATGCTGGGGTACAACTGCGCCCTCATCTGCCAAGTCGCTCTGCCTCTGCCCTGAGGGGTGACCAGGCCTGGCCCCCTGGCTCGGCTCACCTGGCAGGCTGTCACCGTCTTGTTCCACAGCACCATCCTCTCGGGCTGCAGGATCACCTCCTGGTACACCAGCTCCGCGGGGCAGGGCAGGAAGGTCTGGAGCAGGGCGGGCAGAGGGCTGGGTGGTGCCAGATGTACTCGGGCACACCAGCCCTTCCCTCCTGGTTGGGAGAAACCTGCCGGAGGGTCCCCCTACCCCCGGGCTCTTTCTTGGAGTCCCAGGCAGAGCAGGAGGCTCCAGAACACCTCTTCCCTCACTCACCTTCAGGATGAAGGTCTTGCCATGAAAGGGAACCTCGATGGTGTACACAGTGTCCCCATATTCCTGTGGCAGGGACAGAAGGGTGGCAGGGAGGTGAGCAGAGGGCAGAGGGGAGCCTGGGGGGCAGGAATGGGTGACAGGCAGGGCAGGTTTTTAACAGCTCAGGGTAGAAAACTCCAGGAGTTTTGGGATATCTGAGCAGCCATTAAAGAACAATGGTTCTGGGACCTCCCTGGTGGCACAGTGATTAAGAATTCACCTGCCAATGCAGGGGACACGGGTTTGATCCCTAGTCCGGGAAGATCCCACATGCTGCAGAGCCACTAAGCCTGCGAGCCACAACTACTGAGCCCACACGTCACAACTACTGAAGCCCACATGCCCACACGCCTAGGGCCCATGCTCCACAACAAGAGAAGCCACCGCAATGAGAAGCCCATGCACTGCAACAAAGAGTAGCCCCCGCTCGCCGCAACTAGAGAGGCTGCACGAAGCTATCTACAAAGACCCAACGCAGCCAAAAAATAAAAAAGTGGTTCTGCCTCCTTGCCTCCTTCACTGTTGGTGGGAATGTAAGTTGGTGCAGCCACTATGGAAAACAGTATGGAGATTCCTCAGAAAACTAAAATTAGAATTACCATATGATCCAGCAATCCCACTCCTGGGAATATACCTGGCCAAAACTATAATTCAAAAAGAATTCAAAAAGTCCCTATGTTCATAGCAGCACTGTTCACAATAGTCAAGGCATGGAAACAACCTAAATGTCCATTGACGGATGAATGGATAAAGAAGATGTGGTACATATATACAGTGGAATACTACTCGGCCATAAAAAAAAAGAACAAAATAATGCCATTTGCAGCGACACAGATGCAACTAGAGATTATCATATAAGTGAAGTAAGTCAGAAAGAGAAAGACAACTACCATATGATATCGCTTATACGTGGAATCTAAAATATGGCACAGGGCTTCCCTGGGGGCGCAGTGGTTGAGAGTCTGCCTGCCGATGCAGGGGACACGGGTTCGTGCCCCGGTCTGGGAAGATCCCACATGCTGCGGAGCGGCTGGGCCCGTGAGCCATGGCCGCTGAGCCTGCGCGTCCGGAGCCAGTGCTCCGCAATGGGAGAGGCCACAACAGTGAGAGGCCCGCATACCACAAAAAAGAAAAAAGAAAAAATAAAAAAAATAAAAATAAAAAAAATAAAATATGGCACAGATGAACCTATCTACAAAACAGAAACAGACTCACAGACATAGAGAACAGACTTGTGGTTGCCAAGGGGGGTAGTGGGAAGGAGAGGGAGAGACGGGGGTTTGGGGTTGGTAGATGCAAACTATTACATTTAGAATGGATAAACACCAAGGTCCTACTGTATAGCACAGGGAGCTATCTCCAATATCCTGAGATAAACCATAATGGAAGAGAATATAAAAAAAGAATATGCATATGTGTATAACTGAGTCACCCTGCTGTACAGCAGAAATTAACAGAACATTGTAAATCAACTACACTTCAATAAAAAAAAAAAAAACAGTGGTTCCGACAAATGATCTGCAATGAGGAGAGAAAGGCTTTTGATATCAAGTTTAAAGGCAGGAGCACAGCTGCGGCTGCAACCACGAAGGACCGTGTCTCCAGGCCGACAAGGGCTGCCAGAGGAACTGGCCAGAGAAAGGGATGACGATGTTTTCCCTCTGTTTTCCAAGCTCTCTGCCGTCTTTTTAGATAATGCTGTTTTGACCATGAAACAAAACACCAGACACAGGGCCGAAGCCTGGCTTCCCCTTCAAAGCTGGAGCCGAGGGAGCAGAGCAGCGGCGGGGTGGGGGGGGAAGCAGGGGGAGGGGCGGTGGGAGTGTCCAATGCAGCCCAACCGAGTGGCTGACCCCCGGGCTCAGCCCCCTCTCCTGGGGTTAGGAATATGGTTCCAACCCGTGCAACCTTTGGGCTTATTTCTCAGGCCTCAGAAGAGGGAGGGAAAACTCCCCACAGGAGAGCCCTCAGCATCAGGTGGGAGACGGGTCTCTTACGTTATTCTTCTCGAACCTCCAGTTCTCCTCCTGGGCCAAGATCTGGTCCACCACCGCCACGGCCTCCTTCCCCTGGAGGACGTACTCCCGTTCCTGGCCGGGGATGGGAGTCAGGAAGGGGTCAGCCTGGGGTCTGCACCCCACCTGCTCTTTCTGCACCGGGCTGGGTGGGAAGCCTGGCTCAGCCAGATGTCCAGATGCCGGGTCTGGGCTGGTCTCCTGGGCCCTGCGGGCTTCCTGGGACCAGGTGCCGTGGCTGCGGCTGCTACCCCCGGGCCCCAGGCAGGAAGCAGACCAGTGGGCCTGACCGACAGTGGGGTGCACACCCAGATGGACATGGACTGGCATTCAGGCTGCCTAAGGTCTACCCTCCGCTGGGAAGACCCTGCCCACCTGGCTGAGCGCACCACTGGCCCCTCATCCAGGGTGCCCACCCGGGGCGGGGCAGGCAGCCAGATACCTGGGCAGAGAAGCCTTTCTTCCCAGCAGCTTCTCCATCTGATTCATTGTCAGACCCTGCAGGAAACAAGCAGAGGACAACGGGAAGAGGTGAAGAGAGCGGGGTGCTGGCGGGGGAGGTCGGGGTACAAGAGCAATGGTGTAGGGGTATGAAAGCGGGTGTGGCAGAGGGCTGCTCGCTTTCCCTGGGGAGCTGACGCGAACAGAAAGAACAGACCCAGCCAACGCCCCTTCCCTCCGAAGGCAGTCCTCCCACACACCAGCCCGCACCTGCAAAGGATTCTGGGGGTGAATAGAACTGGCCCTCGGACAGGGCGCCGGAGAAGAGCAAGGGTCCTCGGGCGACAGCAGCCTGGGCAGCGAGATACCCTGGGGGAGCAGACGTGGGCAGCCATCGCCCCAGACCAAGGACAGTCGTGCCCCAGCAGCCTGGGGTCCCCCGGTCCAGGCTCACCCTAAGGCTCCTAGAGGCAGAGCTGGCAAGAGAGCTCAGAACTGGCTCTCAGGCCCCAAACTCTCCTCTCCTGGGTGGGGCTGACCCTCACTGCACCCCCCACCCCCCAGCACTCACATCGCTCCTCCTCAGCCTCCTGGGGTAGGACTTTGAAGTCAAGGAACCAGGTCTCCAACCAGGCGAGGACGAAGGAGACGATAGGGAGCAAGTAGCCGAAGGCCCCTTTGCTGAGCAGCTGCGGAGGGAGGGGGCTGAGCTCCACGGCAGGGAGTCACCTCAAACCCAGAGCCCCACCCTGGGGCTACCAACTCTGGCCTACACCCCACTCCTGGTACCAGCTGTGGGGACCCTCTGTGGCCCACGCCCTTGAGATGGATGGATTAATGAGTTCTGCAGCAGGATAAACTAAGGTTAGGCTAGAGGAGGAACTTTCCGTCCTTGGGGTTGCAGCAGGGCGAGTGGGGAAAAGCCAATGAAGATGATCCCTTAGAGATCTCAAAGGACAGGATTCCCCTTCACCCCAACCCCGACAACAGGGTCAGACACCCAAAATCAGAGGAGCGGTCCCTTCTTGGGAGAAGCCCACCCCTCAGGCCAGATGCCCACCAGACCAGCCAGACCCTGAGCCACTGACCTCAGAGAGGATGACCTTGACAATGAGGAATGCACTGGACACCAGCGTGGTGACCTGCCCAGGGGAGGGAAGGAGGAAGAGAGCGAACATAGAGGCTGGGGAGTGAGGCCTCCTCCATCCCATCTCTTGCGCCAGCCCCGCCAGGGCCCGAGAGCTGCCAGGAAAGTGGCATCTTACCGCAATCACCCACCAGTGCCGGAGCCGCAGCACAGCGTACCCCAGGAGCAGCCCCGAGAAGCGGAAGGCGGCCAGGACCTGGCGTGGGGGCCGGGGAACCGTCACGGGCAAGCCAATGGCCCTACCCCTGCTGAAGGCTGGCCTCCCCCTCCAGCCCTGCTGCCTGAGGTTCCCTCCACATGGTGTGCACACCCCAGGAGAGGAGGGCCGAGGCCAAGTCAGCGTTTCTTTGGGGACGATCTGGATGTGACCTTCTTGGATAGGGGTCTCTCGTCTTCCCTTCCCACTTGGGGCTCACTGAAGGTGGGGCCTCATTTATGAACCTGTTTGAATACTGAGGGTTCCCTGAAGATAGGAGCAAGTCTCCCTGACCAGATTAGGATATGTGTTGTGAGAAGAGAATCCAGCGAAAGAGTCACGCTCCTATGCCCTCTGTCCCCAGGATCTCCAAGGCCACTCACCAAGATGTCAAAGAAGGAAGTTTTAAAGCTGTAGTGGATGATCTCCTGCTCCAGGTTCTTCCGGATGCCTGTGTTGGTCTGGAAGAGAGAGATGTGGATAGCTCTGCAAGCAGAACCAAGTCCCCAGGGCTGCCCCTTGTTCTCCCAGAGGGGGAGGAGGCGGGAGGGGGAGAAGGTAGAACCGGGAGGAGAGGCTGTAAATGCTCAGCTACCACCCAAGAAGCCCCTGAGGCAGCAGGGGAGCTCAGCCAGGGACCTGAGACCCCAGCATTATTACTGTTTCTCTAAGGATCCAGGCAGCCCAGACAGGCGGGGCTAAGCTGAGCCTCAGACACTCGCGGGCACACTGCCCAGGAAGAGGCAGGCCTGGAGGGCCTTGGGGCTGTGCAGGAGAGGCGATGAGCCCTATGCAGGTAGGTAGCGCTGGCACACAGGGTGCTGGGAGCATGCCTCTCACATAATTGCATCTCCCTCCCACCACTGCGGTGCTCTATCTTCCCAGCCAAGCATCCATCTGTGGTGATGGGGGCCAGGGGTGGGCAGTGGTGTCAGACGGAGCCCCAGGTGGCAAATCGATTGATTAGGTTTGTGCTTAATGGACAAAATCCATCATGCTGCTAGAGAGGATGGCGTTCAGAGTGGGCAGACTGGTCCTTGCCCCTGCCCCTGCCCTAGCCACCCACACATTTTCAATGGGACCCCTGAGACCCTGGCTGGGCAGTGAGGGGTCTGGATGGGCACTGAGAGCTAGAGCAGCCTGAGGCTTCAGGAGGAATGGGGTGGCAGGCTTACGCCTCTGCAGGTGGGGCGCCAGCCCCCGGAGAAGGGGGGCACAAGGGGGCTCTCAGGAATGGGGCCTGGGAGCCCTGATGGGGAAGACCCTTCACACCTAGACCGGGGCTTCTGATCTCCGGCAGATGATATGAATTGGGGCAGTGGGGCTTGGGGGGGCTTGTTAAAGATACAGATGTTCAGACACTGGGTCTGAATCTCAGGCTGAGCTGAGCATCTAGAATGGTTATAAAACTCCCAGGTGATTCTGATGCTCGGGGCAGGAGCCAGCTATCTGGACAGCTCCTCACTGAACTTCGGGCCCCTGGCACATCCCCACTGAATGCCTCAACCTCAAGACCACTCTGAGCCCTGTGGAGTCAGACGCCTTGCTGCCTCTGGTCTGACACCCCACCCCGCCCCAGCTCGGTCCGCCTCTTCCTCCTGACTGCTCCCTCTTGGGCTCCACGGCCCCTCTCACCCCTAACAGCCCCTGTCCCTCAAGCTCTGTCTTCCACCATTTTTCTCTTTACAGAGAGCTCTCCCTCTGCCTGGGTACCCGCCTGCCCACTGCATGAGGACTCAGGACAGTGGAGTTCCAGGCCCTGCTTTGCCACGGGCTACGAGACTTTGGCACAGGTCTTATAACCTGGCCAGGGTCGTTGCATCCACTGGGCAACACACAGTCTGTTAGAAAATTAAAAATATATATGCTCCAAAATATAAAAATAAGATGACAGAACTGAAAATTAATAAAATTTCAATTAAGTGTCTACTGAGTGAAACATTATGTTGATTCTATGAACTATTAAATCCAGCACTCTGAAATTTTTCATCACATTTGAAAACAATTTGGAGGTTAGATTTTCACACTTTGCAAGAATTCCAAAGTCTGCATGATGACTGCTAAGCTATTACAGCCAATACAGCCAGAGAGTTTCAAAAGTAAAATTATCAAAAATTTTTTTCAGCTCTTTTCTGGCAAGTAAATATATATACTGAATGAAGGATGTGGGTGAATTTTAGTGCCTGCTTTGAGATGCTGCACGGGACCTTCAAAAGCAAGAATGTCTAAGACCTCGGAAGCTCTTCAAGCGGCCCTGAAACTTGCTGGGCCTCAGCTCTCTCATCAGTAAGATGGTCCCAAAGGCCCCGTGGCTGTGGCTCCTCGCTGAAGGTGCCAGCTCATCCCTGTGCACAAAGGACAGTCACCCTCAGAGCCCTGCCTTGCTTTCCAGCTCAACACGCTTGGAATCAAACTTACCCTCTTCACCCCTAAACCAGCCCCTTCTCCAAATTCATTTCTAGCACCAGTCATTCTCCTGACACCTGAGCTTGCGATCTGGAGGAAGGGCACCGGCCACCCAGAACTCTGACCCACTTTGCACAAGGAGAACAGGGGGTCTCAAAGAGGCTGAGTCCCTTGCTGAGGTCACACAGTTACTACAGAGGAGAAGCTGGCATGGGACCAAGCCTGGGATGCCCTGTTCCACGGCTCCTGCCTCTGTATCAGGTCTTGCTCTGCCCTGTTAGCACCCGGGGATTAGGCCCCACCACCAGCTGGCCAAGCACTGCACAGGGGGAGAAGGGGGCAGACCCTGCCCCGACAGGCAGCTCCGCCTCCAGACTGCTAGGTGGCATCTCACCAAACCCAAGAGGCCAAACTGGGGGGCACTGGAAGAATGCCCCAAGTGGGGAAGGAGAGCTGGGCACCACTGGGAACTGGGAGTTCCAGTACTGGTTGCTCCCCACTGTACCCTCTGCTTTTAGCACAGTATCTGGGACACAGCAGGGGCTCAAAAATGCTTGTTGAATGAATGAATGAATGAATGAATGAATGGAGCCAGAGAGTAATGTAGAGCAGAAAGAAGACAAAGGTTTCAATAGCTCAACCAGAGTCCTCTGGGCTCCCTCCTCCTTTCTCAAGAGTGTCCGCTAGGGGGCAGTATGGCGCAGAGGTCAAGACTGCAAGCTCTGGAGCCAGAGAGTCTGGGTTCAAGCCCTGCCGCCTTCACATACTTGCTGAGAGACTTCAGATAAAGGACTCAGCCTCTCTGAGTTTCTTTCTCTGGAAGATGAGAACAGCTATTCTTATCATCTCATTCTTCCTTTTACCTGGAAATCAACAGTCCCCCCCCACCCCCCGCCGCCAGAGGCAACCCTCCCATACCGCAGATGGAGTAACTGAGGCCCAGGCAACCCCCACAGTGCGGCTTGTGCCTCCAGCCTTGCCCCCACTCACGTTCAGCTCAATGATCCAGAGCAGGGAGATGAAAAGCAGGTCGAAGGTGACAAAGAGGCAGAAGGTGCGGCGGACGTCGGAGATGGACCGGCGCTTCTCACGAGGCGGCGGGAGGAAATGCGAGGAGAGGCTCTGGCTGTGGGACAGCGACAAGCCAAGGGAGGCCACGGCTGGCAGGCTGCGCTCCAGGTCACGGGCCGGCTCCCCAGACAGCTTGCTCATCCTGGCGGCCCCCACCTCCAGGCAGAGAGGGCTGGGCCTCAGCGGTACGGCTGCGGGAAGACGGGGTGGCTGGCTCAGGTCCTGCATGTCAGGGTCCTGGAGGTCCTGGTCACCTCCCTCGTCCCTTCCCACGCAGCCCCCGGGGACCCCGTTTGCTCCCAAATACATCTGCCCCTCAGCCCCAGCCTAACCCGGTGGCCCAGGGCCCTCTCTGCCTAATTTCCCACTGTGGCCTGATGCTCAGGCTGGAGGGGTCTGAGTATCCCTCTCACTCTGTGGTGCTCCTAAACCCGCCATCCCCGGCAAAGTCTTGCAGCCCCACGGTCACCCCTGGAGGCCTCTGGGATCCTCCCCGATGTCTGGGGGCACAGCCCGCTCCTGCCAAGCGCTGCCCTGTGGTTCAGCCTCTGGGCCTGCCCCCACCCCCAGGAGAAGTCAGTCCCAAGCTCTGTTCTTTGTTTTCCAAGCACAAAGCCACATTCCCTCCCAGCAGCCAGCCCTACCCTCCCACCCCCTAATCCATGGCGACTGGGAGGGACTTCCTAGAGCAGAGTGCTCTGTGCTGGGGGCGGGATGGCGGGATGACATCTTCATCTCCAGCTATGTCCCCACCACTGCCACCTCAGGCCCACCCAGCACAGCTCTCTCCCAGCGCTCCAACTTGCTCCTAATGGGCGCGTCTCCAGGCTTCCTCTCCGCGCCCCCCCCCGCCCCCACAGCAACCACCTCTCCACAGGACAGCCAGAGAAAGCTTTTCAGAACATGAATCAGATCCTGCCATTCCCCACTTACAGCCCTTCAAGGGCACCCCCCGGGTCTGAGGATAACAGCACCCTCCTTGTGATGCCCTCGCAGGACGTGGCTCTGCCTGGCTCCTCGCACCACTCCTCGCACAAGGCACGGGCCCCGTCTCACTACGACGGCCACCCGGGCCCTCTAGGTCCCTACACGTGGCAGCCCGGTCCTGCCTCGGGGGCCTTAGACCCAGCTCTCCGGGCTGGGTGGCATGTTCTCCCCAGTCCTTTCAACGGGCAGCTCCAAAGCGCTCTCCTCGGAGCCTCACACCCTCCTGCCCGCAGAGTCCCAGTTAATTTACGGGGCTTTGCCTTCTTCAGTGAACTCTCACCATCTGAAACCGTCTTACTGATTGTTCTGCAAACACCACGGTGCAGGCCTTTATCTGACTTGGTCCCTGCTGTCTCCTAGGACCTAGCACAATGCTGGCACTTAACAGGTGCTGAATAACTGACTGTTGAAAAAATGGATGACCCAGAGGGTCTCATGGCCCTCAGCTCCATGCTACATGGTAGAGAGGACCAGGGCAAACCCAGCCACTACCCAAGGCTCGCCCAGAGCTCCAGTGCCCACAGAACACTGCGCCCATGGCCGTGTTTCATGCCCACACAGGGCAGGATGGTCCCTCCTATTCTTCAGATAAGACAGCCAAGGCTCCGAAAGGGTGAATGGACTTACCCATCCCTTTACCTGCCTGTGCAATCATGAGGCTGAAATCCTCATGAACCCTAAAGACAAAAGGGGCCCTGGAGCACTCCCTCCCTGCCATGCAGGCCCCAGGCCTAAGGTCTCTGCTCTGCCAATTTGCTGGTGGGGGCCCTCAGAGGCCCTGTCCCCTGTGCAGGGGGAGGAAAGGTTTAGTCTAGAGCCAGAGAAGAGCTGATACAGTGTAGTGGGGCCTGAGTTTCTAGGACCCCATCAAGGGTCTCCCTGAGTGTTCTCACACGCCAGCACCAGGGGGCAGGTTTGGGGGCCAGTGGAAGGGGAGCCCTAGATCTTTGTGCTTGATCTTGAGAAGGCAAGATCTAACCAGTCTCCCCTCCAGATTTGCCGTCCCCTCCATACCTTTGCTATGTCTGCTACCTTCCACGCCCCACTCCATCTACTAAGTCCAAAACAAGCCCCCCGTATGTGGCCAGACGGGGGTTCTGAGCAAGCCGGGTCGCCCATCCCTCTGCCTCTGTGCCAGTGGACACAGAGCTGACTGTTCTCAGCAGAGGCACCAGCCCAAGGCCATCCCCCCACTACCACACTCTTGGGATCCCCGTGACAAGCTCACCTGGAGGGTATTGAAGGAAGGCTGGGCCCAGCTCTGGAAGGCGGCAGAGGAGGGGATGTGACAGGCCGCAGGCAATGGGACCCCCCAACGTCCATCAGTTGGATCTGGTGCCAGACTGCACACTCAGCGCATCCCTCACCGAGACAGGGCCGCAGCCCCAGGGCAGGTGACATTTGCTTGTCTCTAATAGCCCTCTTGTCTCCTGCCAGACCTGTCTCCATCTCTCCTCCCCCTTTCTGTCTCTCTCACAAGCTACCTCTCTACCTTTCTTTAGAAGTGTCTCTGTACCCTCTCCCACCTCCATCTTTACTTCGCCCCCTCTCTGGGTCTTCCTCTCCATCTCTCTCCCATCTGTGAGTCTCTCTGCACCCCCGTCGGATCAGTCTGTCTCATGTTTCTCTCTCTCTCCTCTTTTCTACCTGTCTTCCCTATCTCATGGCAGGGCGCTGTGACTTCCCCACTCCCAGTCTGCTCCCGGGTCTGTCTGTCTTTCCCCCTGGCTTTCCCCTTCCTTTCTGGGGACAGGACTTGGGTGGCAACAGCTTGGGTGTGAGACACACTCAGAGTGACAACAGCACTGACACACACACACCCAGATATCCCTGTGGAAGCGAGAGACAGACAGGGGCTGAGAGCAGAGGTGTTGGGGGAGCCTGGGCGAGCTGTGGACGCAGGGATGTGAGGGAGTTGACCCCGGGAGCTCTGAAGCAGAGGCAGAGAGAGAAGGCTTCTACATTACCCTCCCCCAGGAAAGAAACTCCGGGTCCAAATAAGCAAGAGCTGGTGGGGTAGAATGGGCACTGGTCAGGAGTTAAGACCTGAGCCCCAGTATGAGGGCAGCCACTAACCCTGAATAACTTTGGGCAAGTCCTTCTTAGCAAACCTCCATTTCTCTATGTGGGAAAAAGGTCCATGGTTTAACTTAAAACAAAACAGCAACAAGAAAACCTTACTTACAATCTCAATATACGGGAATTCCCTGGTGGTCCAGTGGTTAGGACTCTGTGCTTTCACTGCCGAGGGCCTGGGTTCAATCCCTGGACGCAGCCAAAAAAAACCACCTCAATATAGAAAACAGATAAAAGCAGGACTGTATGGGTCCTGCCACAAGACGCGGCCACAGAGAGTCCCACCGGTCAGCCTTTCCTCAGACTCCATCCATGGTCACCCCTGAGGCGCCTCCTTGGGTGTGGTTTGAAATAACTCATTCAGACGACTTCAAAAGGCTTTTGAGCTCCCTCCGACCACCTGCCAGTTTAAGAGGTGAAAGCCACCTTGGCCTGGAACTGCCCTGACCCTGGAGGATGGAAGGTGGCAGCTGCCGGCAGAGCAGCTTGGCTTGGCCTCTGCCCACCGCCCCCGCCAGGGCTGCCACCCAGCCCCTGGGGAGCAGCGCCCCCTGCCAAGCCCACCACCTGCTGTCACCGGCCCCTCCCAAGCGCCTTCAGAGGCGACCGGAGTGGGGCAGCACGTGTGGCGTGAAGGAGTTGGCCTGGGCTGCCTGCAGACTTGACACTTGATGTGCTTTCGGAAGCTGAGCTGCTGAGGCTTGGGGAGAGTGGCGGGGAGGGAGGGGAAGCTGGAGGTTTTATCGTCCTGGGTCTGAAGG